CTTAAAAATCGAGACGAAAATACTATGGTAACATGGATTCAAAACTCTACATTGTTTGTTGGTATCGACGCAAGCCAATCTTCCTTTCAATTTTACCAGAGCGGTATAATATATTCATTGATTGTGTAACATTGATTGCTATTAATCTTTTATCTTTTAGGTATTTATACGGACAACTCCTGCTCACAAACGGTGATTGATCATACGGTACATATAATAAATAACTTTATTAGCTTGAAATTCTAAAAGTTTTAATTTCTTATTTGCGAATAGATGCAACTTGTTGGTTATGGAAAGACGTCCTCGGGAGATCTCTTTTGGATATGCAAGAATAGTTGGGGTAAGTAGAAGGATTTTCATAAGTTTTTAGGCTTGACAAAATTAGTTTATATGCTGACAGAAAATAATCCCTAACCGAATGTTTTTATATGAGTCTTGACTACTCGTATCAAGCTTTCCAGTAATATATATATTGGATAATAGTTGTTCTTGTAATAATAAAACTGTAAATATGAGAATATGAGGATAAGTTTTCACAATCGATCAACACGATATTCTATTTAAGAAATATGAAAAACACTCTATTTTGTATGTACATATATTAAAATGAGTATATAAAAGTCTCATTTAACTATCACATATTTGTTGTTTGACTCTTTTGGTTAGTTGGTCAAGTCCGTTAGAAATTTTCTTAATCATTAGAAGTTATTTTTTTCATTGTTGTTTCAATCGAACTTTTAGTTGTTGAAAGCTTGAAAATTGTTTTTCTCGTACTTTTTCCTTTAATATTTCCCATACACTTGCAGTGGATCATGAATTGGCAAATCTATTGCCAATTTCTTAAGACAAACAGCGATTATTAGATGATTCATCAATAAATCAAAATACAATCTTTGTTCTTTGTTTTTCGTGCGGCATGCGATGTTTTTATATACTGTATCCATTTCAATTTGATTACTGAGTACATGACTGAACAAGTAATCAGTAGATCATGATGAGCATCGAATAAATGAATAAGATAAATAATTATTTGTTTCTACTATGGTATTTTCAATCTAGAATCGTTCAACATTTTGTTTAAAAAAATCTCTAAAATAAATGAGATGAATCGATTACGAAAAATTTATCCTCATATTCTCATGTGTATATTTTTATTATTACAA